TAGTCCAGCGCCCGCAGCGCGAACAGCTGCCCGGTGTCGGCGTTGATGGACACGAGCGAGGCGGGGTCCGGCTGCGGCTGCGGGTGCGGGTGTTGGGGCGGCAGCAGCGAGTAGGTGACCTGGGCATTGGAGCCTGAGTCTCTGTCTGTGGCGCTGATGGTGCCTATGAGCAGGGCGGGGCTGTTGTTTTCTGGGACGAAGAGGGTGTAGGAGGATTGGGTGAAGGTGGGGGCGTTGTCGTTGACGTCGGAGACCTGCACTGTTATGGTGTGCTGGGTTTTGAGCCTGGGTGTCCCCAAGTCGGTGACAGTGATGGTGATGTTGTACTCGGATCTGGTCTCTCGATCCAAAGCTCTGTTTGTCACAAGAGTATAAAAATTCTCTACGGAGGGTTTCAGGAAGAAAGGAAGATCATCTGGGATGGAGCAAATCGTCTTTCCATTGTCTCCCGAGTCAGGATCTGAAACACTGAATACAGCAATGACAGTTTCCTGCAAGTTTTCTGGTATCTGAGTGGTAAGCGTGGAGATGCTTACTTCTGGAGGATTGTCATTCAAATCCATCACCTGGATAAACACTACACAATTTCCAGAAAGGCCCCCACCATCTACGGCCTGAATATTTACTGTGTAACTCTGAACTGTTTCATAATCTGTTTTCTGTTTCAAAAGGAGTTCTCCGGATTTTTCATTTATTTGAAAAGTTTTGCGAATCTCTTCAGAGGCTTGGAATAATACATACGATATTTGTCCGTAGGTTCCAATGTCTAAATCCCTAGCGGAGACTGTAGCAGCCTGGAATCCAACGGGGCTATTCTCTGGAACCTGCACCTCATAGAGAAGCTTTGTGAATTCAGGCGCGTTGTCATTGATATCCAGTACTTCAATGAGGACCAGGGCCGTGCCGGATCTGGGTGGGGTCCCGCCATCTAGAGCAGTGAGGGTTAACCTGATCTCAGGCTGTTCTTCACGATCCAGTGTTTTGTCCAGCACCAGCTGTGGTACTATGCCTTCGAGACTGTCTTGTAATTTAAGATGAAAGTAGACATTGGGACTGATTTTGTAATTTTGGAGACTATTGCTTCCTACATCTAAGTCCTGAGCACGTTCTATTGGGAAAGTCGTTCCAGGAGTGATACTTTCTGAAATTTTCAAAATTATTTCTTTGTCTAGGAATACTGGAGAATGATCATTTATGTCCCTAATCTGTAGCTCAGCCTGAAAGAACTGCAAGGGATTTTCCAATAACACCTGGAAAGGTAATACACAAGGTTCGGTGGGGCCACAGAGCCTCTCCCGGTCCAGTTTCTCATTTAATAATAAATCTCCAGTCCGTCCATCTAACTGTAAACTCATTTTCCCCCCCTTGGAAATAACCCGGGGTTTCCGTACAGCTAGTCCTTCTACCTCTAGCCCCAGGTCTTTTAACAAATTGTGTACAAAGGAACCACTCTCAGATTCCTCAGCCACTGAATAGCGCCTAGACTCGGAACCAGCCAGAGGTATGCACAGAAAAACAAAGAATATCAGGACTTGCCTTTGTCTCCAAATGCATTCCTTTCCGTCTCTGGCCTCCATCGCTTTCTGATTTCCCAGCTCGCGTTGTGTCGCTGACTCTTTTCTCTAAATATCTTGCAGATACTGGGATAATTGGAAAATCCTAGGTCCTCGGTATTCTGAAACAGCCACCTTAGAATGCCTCTTCTTCCTGCTTTGCTTATTTATTTACTGAGTATCAGTGTAAAGGGGCTAGGGGGTTTGCTTCAATAGTTCTACTTCTGAGGCTGCAGCGCCACACCGCGTCCATTCTGAGCATTTGTTTTGTTTAAAGCGAAAATCTCAAGTTTTCTTTCAGACTGGGCTATTTAAATGGAATATTTTCAATTACCGTTTCCTCACGTAGTAAAGTCTTATCTGAATTTCAGAAGGCTTTCATTTCATCTGTACTGAGCTGAGAAACATAAATCACCCCAGTTTTCTCATAGATCCAAGGGGCTCTGGGAGGAAAGAAATCAACTTTAGAAACTGAAGAGTGACTTCAGACCTATGATTCAGGGCGAAAAAAGACTTTGACTAGAAAGTTGAAGGTTTTTTTATTCAGATATTGCACATATGCGTATCTAGATGGGGGCTAGGTTGCCATTCCCACGCTAAAATCTAACAGCATAGAGACCCACTGATATATTATTACTTACAGTTCTTTCTTGCATTGTTAAATATTGATGGGACTGATCCAAGTGAAAAATCTCCAGGAGAGGTGACATAATTCCTTTTTGTGAATATGTCAAAACTTTTATTTTCTTAGTACATCTAATATTTTGCATAAACTCAATCCAGCTGTCACATTTAGCAAGTTCATTAATTTAGTAGTATCAATTACCCAGTAAATACTAACATTTCCTCAATTATTTTTGAAGTGTCTTTTAAGGAGATGGTTTATTAAATTAGGTTCCAACGTATATATGTTGCAGTTTATTGTCAGGAGTTTTGAGTTACTATCCCTTGTATTTTTTTAATACTTGGTTTAAGACATTATCAAGCCACAAAAACATATAGAGAAAATTAAATGAATACTGCTTGGTGAAAGAGCCATTCAGAAAAGATGGCATTATATTATTATGAGTACATGACGTTGTGGTAAAAGCAAATTGTGGTGACATTAAAAATATCACTGGTTTCTAAGGGACAAAGAAACGGGAATAAACAGGTAATGTTTAGAAGACTACATACCATTAAGCATTGTGAAAAAACCATAGATAAGTACAACACAAAAAGCTGACCTTGGGCTAGGGAGATAGCTCAGCAGAATAAGCGCTTGCCTGACAAGCACAGGGTCCTGAGTTCAATCCCCGGTACCGCCAAAAAAAAAAAGCTGACCTTAATGCAAATCATGGACTTTAGTTGATAATTTATCAATATGAGCTCAATAGTTTTAATATATGTGCAATGTTAAGGCAAGATAGTAATGACACAGGAAACTGAATGGCAGAGAGATGGGAGCCTGGAACTCTACTATTTGTCCAGTTCTCTGTAAAATCTAAATTGTTCTAAAAATCCTGTTATAGGGCCAGGGAGATAGCTTGGTGATCTAAGCACCTACCTGGAAAGTACAAAGACCCAGGTTTGATCCTCAGTACTGCATGCTGTGCCAGCCCCCATGCCTTGCTGGCCACCTAGACCAGGCATAGTGGCACACACCTGTAATCCCAGTGCTGGGGAAGCTGAGACAGGAGGATCACTATGAGTCCAAGCTGTGTAGTGAGACCCTGTACCAAATAATAAATAAACTATTAAAAAGGAAAATTAAATAAAAATTATATCAAAGTAATTTTTAAAATTTGCATTAAAATTTTCAAATATTTAGAAAAGTTTAAAGCACTATATGATAAACAACTCTATCCTCCAAACTAAATTATTTATATTTTTCCATATTTGTTCTGTCTTTTCAGAATAAAATGTTATTTGCTGATCAAATTGAAAACTACTTTCAGACAACATGATTCTTCACCTCAATATTCAGGACTTATCTTCTAAGTATAAGGACATTATCCCGGGTGATCATAATGCAAAAGATGGGCTGGCCAGGTAGCTCAACAGTCTAAAGCACCTGTCATCTCAGCCCTGCCCCTGGAGTGCACTGAGACAGTGATTGAGACTGGTCGTGTGGCACACACCTGTAATCCCAGCACTTGGGAGGCTGAAAACAGGAGAATCACTAGGAGTCCAATCTAAGTTGTGAGACCCTGTAGACCCTGTAAGACCCTGTACTAAATACATAAAAAAGTAATGCAAAAGTCTTTTAGCATCACTTGAGTGAACTTAAAAATCACTAAGTTTGGAAGTATCACATAGTTGATAATATATTATTAGTTTCCCACTAGCTTTGCATTAGATAACACCTTTGCTATGTGGGTTATGATGACAAAAACTGCTTGGGTTAATTTTTAAGGACTTGAAGATTTCTTTTGCTGAAAATATTGACTCTTCTTTGGGCCTCCAGATGTCTGATGGTGAATGAAATAGGATAAAAATTCTTGACATCTCTTCACATTGTCTATCTTTTTAAAATTAATTTTACTAGTACAGCTTAGATATGCATTATGATCACATTCATCATCAAGAACTTGTGCCTATACATGATATATCTTAGTTATTCTTCTTTCCCTGGTCTCTTCCTTCAGCCCTTCTTCTTATTTTTATAGCTTTTTTCCATTTTATCCTTTTTGCTCATTTTTTCCCCTTACTTCTCCCTAGTCCAGTTCCTCTTTCCTCTTAAACCCTTGCTTCCTATTTCCTGGAATGGGAAGCTACTTTCTTTGACCAATGATTGAATGAAGCCTGTCTTTTTCCCCAGATATTTGTCTCTTGGACATTGGTTTTTCTCTGGGATGACCTTCTGTACCTGGTTTGGTAACACTATCACAATAAAGCTAAAATATTATTTTAAATGCAGTGCCTATTAAATCTCACCAATTATCCTTTCAATATCCAGTTTTCCTCAACTGTGATGAGAGGCCACATTTGCTGCTGGATTCCCTTTACAGTGCAGTTTTCTTAACTACTTGTTCTAAGGAATGTCTCTGAAACTTTTTAAACCAAGTTTAATGATTATACTTGATATTGTGTCTATTGTCTCTTTCTTTCTTTCTTTTTTTTTTGCAGAACAGGGGTTTGAACTCAGGCCCTTTTGCTTGACAGGGAAGCGCTTATTCTACTGAGCCATCTCCCTGGCCCCTTTGTTTGGTTTTCTTCATCATAGTGTCATTTAACACCATTCTATCCCATCTATTCTTAGAAGATTGAAATGGATGATTTATGAAGTATAATGATAATATTACATTTTAATTTTTACCAGTTAAGCTAATGGCATAATTATACCTAAATTAAGCTATCATTCAATTTCTGTAATTGTACAAATGAGTTGGGTAACCATAAGGTTTCATGTTTATGAAGATACTGAATTCTAACAATGTCCTTTCTCAACATTTAGAAAGATATCTAAATCTATCCTATTCATACCATTTTTTCTTCTAATGATTACAATTTCTTGACAATATTATAATTCAATGAGTTTTAATTTATTTCCATTGAACACTAAATGTAATTAGTCTAAGTCAATCAAAAGAGCGCCTAAGTCTTTAAAAACAATTCTTTATACATATTGCACAATTTTAAGATGTAATGAAAATCATTCACATCGTGAAGGTAAATGATGACCAGTGGGCCATATAAATTTTTTAATTTAATCAAGCATATCATTTATTTTTTGGTAGATTCTCTGAAATAAGCACTTATGATAAATATGAGATAACATAAAGGGGAAGAAAATAAACAGTATATAAAATTACATCTCTGCCACCTCTCACAACTTGAAGAATAAATAATATTTTTGTGAAACTGGGGATTGAACCCAGGGTCTTTACATAGAGCTAAATCCCAAGCCCTTTTACCTTAAAAAAATAGGATCTCAATAAGTATAAGTTGTCCACACTCAAAATGTAATTCTTCTGCCTCAGCTTCTGAGAGTATCATAATTACAAAATTATTTGTTTTAAAAAATTAACATCTAAAATATTTCAGATGAGTGCTGGCTCTGCCCTAGTGTTACACTGTGACAGCAGTTGAAACTAGGCATGGTAGCAGATGCCTGTAATCCAAGCACTTGGGAGGCTGTAAACAGGAGGATCACTCTGAGTCTGATCTTCATAGTAAGACCCTATGGACCCTCTACTAAATACATAAAAAATAAAAAATACAATATTTCAGATGAAATAATACTCAAGAACCTATTAAGTTTTATTGTACAAAATTTTATGAAGCTTCTTTCCATATTCAGTCATGTGTGTTTTCATAATTTATTAGATTGACTAAAATTTTTTCCCATTCTGTGGGTTGTCTTTTCACTAGGTTGGTAATTTCTTTTGATGTTCAGAAGCTTTATAATAACATGAGATGCCAGATGTTGATTCTTTGAAGTATTTCCCATGCAGTCTTGGTTTTGTTCATGAAGTCTCTGCCTACACCTATGTCTTCAAGAATTCTACCTACTTTTCTCTTCTAGTAGATTTACTGTTTCTGTTTTATTATTTAGATCTTTGATCCATTTTCACTTTAGTTTAGTGCATGGTGATAGACACAGGTCTAGTTTTAGTCTTCAGAATGTAAAGAAGCACCATTCATTAAAGAGGCTACCTTTAGTCCAGTGAACATTATTTGGCCCTTTTGTCAAAGGTGAGGTGGCTGAGTGTTTTAGTAGTTGTGTTTGCATTTTCTAATCTGTTCCACTGATCTGAGGTCTATTTTTATTCAGTGCCATGCTGATTTCATCACAGTAGCCTTCTAGTATAATTTCAAGTCAGTAATTGTGATGCCTCCTGATTTGCCCTTGTTGCCCAGAATTTTTAGCCAGTCATCCCTCAGACAAAAGACATATTTAGAACATATAAAGAACTGAAAAAAAATCCAGTCCCCCCCCAAATTCAAAGACCCAACTCAACAATGGGCATCTAAGATGAATACACACATCTCTACTACAGAAATACAAATGCCAAATAATATGAGAAAAAAGTTCAACATTA